GAGGACCTTTAATAAGGCTCTTGGTAAATGGATCTGGAGGTTCGGGTTGGAAAGAAACCACTGGTGGAGGAAGTTAATGGGAACAGGCAACCAAATACAACACAGATAGAGGAGATTGGATAACCACTTTTTCTCTCCCCTCCTTAGGCTGTTCGGTATGGAGGAAAATAATGGACATTCTCCCCATTTTCAGTAGAGGTTTAAGCCCCAACTTTGGGAAGGGTAACAGGCTGTCCTGGAAAGATCCCTGGTGTGGAAACACTCCTCTTTCAGAGTTATTCCCACATCTATTTCAGTTAGCAGATCATCAAGATGCAGTGATTGCTGAATGTTTTGAGGTGGTGGGGAACTCAGTAGCCTGGTGCCCTTCTTTCAGAAGGAACTTTCAGGATTGGGAAATTCCTGYCCTGGCTGATCTACTYRAWCTGCTCTCCCTTCAACCCCTAAATCTGCTCAAAGAAGACAGCTGGTCCTGGACTGGGAGTACAGATGGCCTCCTCTCAGTCAAGTCATTTTCCACTCACCTGACAATGAGTGCTTCAGAAGACATGCCTGCTTCCAGAATCTGGAATCCAATCTCTCCCTCAAAAATCAATGCTCTAGTGTGGGTTGCAGTTCTAGACAGGTGTTTAACTAAAGCCCACCTATGTAAGAGAGGGGTTCATATTCAGGATCAGAGTTGTGTGTTATGTGGCCAAGGAGTGGAAGATAACAGTCATCTGTTTCTGCACTGCTCAATATCTACTAGAATTTGGAATCATTTTCTTGGTTTGGTGGGTCTTGCCTGGTCAATGCCAGCTTCGGTGAAGGAGATGTTGTGGAGCTGGGGATTACAGGGATTGTCAAAGCTTGCTTCAGCTGTGTGGATGTCCATTCCGGCTGCAGTCATCAGTACGATATGGGCAGAAAGGAACAAAAGACTATTTCAGAATATCTATAAGGATCCGGAAGACCTGATATCTATTTCTTTTGGAAAGCTGATTTCTTGGGTCTCGGCTTCGAAGGGAATTCAGGCTGCTCAGTTGGGGGCTAGGCTAAATTCTAGGAGCCTATGGCATCTGTAATGTTGCTATGTTTGGGCTGTTTCCCCATCTAAGGTGCTCGGTTGGGAGGCCTTTACTAGTATTTCTTATCAATAAAGATTACATTACCTTTTCTCAAAAAAAAAAGTGATTAAAAATATGGAAGTAGATAAATCTCCAAGGCCAGATGGTTAAACTGACTTATTCTACAAGAAATGCTAGGAGGTGGTGAAGGGTGATTTGTTGAAGGTTTTCCAGGACTTTATCTAAATGCTGCTCTAGAAAGAAGTCTAGATGCAACCTTCATCTCTCTAATACCCAAGGTAGAGGGTGCAACAAATATTAGGGACTTTCGGCCAATTAGTTTATTGAACAGTTGCTATAAGATCAGTTTGCTTTTGTGCCTGGCAGGCAAATGTTAGACAGTGTTCCGGTGGCTAACGAACTAATAGATTCAAGGAAGAGGGAGGGCAGGCTGGGGTTGTTATGTAAGCTAGACTTGGAGAAAGCCTACGACCATGTTAATTGGAAGTGTTTGGACTTCATTTTGGAGAGCATGAATTTTGGTCAGAAATGCAGAAACTGGATGAAGGTATGCATTACCTCTCCAAAATTTTCAGTCTTAGTGAATGGTCAATTTAGCAGGTTTCTTCAAAAGTATCAGAGGCCTTAGACAAGGGGGTCCCCTTTCCCCCCTTCTGTTCATCTGTGTGATGGAGATCCTAACTACTTTTGTGAACAAAGTACGTGAGTTGGGTTTGTGGAAAGGTTTTGAAGCATGTCCCAGGGGGGGGGGGAGAGAAAGTCCAGCTGCTCCAGTTTGCAGAGGACACCCTTTGCTTCATTGATGCAGAAGTAGATCAACTTGAAATTCTGTTAGGGGTTCTAAGCTGGCTTGAAGTGGTAACAGGGCTAAGAGTAGACTAATTCCAGTGGGCAGGATTGAGGATCTTGAATCTCTAGCTGAGGTTCTGGCCTGTCAAATTGGTTTTCTGCCTACCATATACCTTGGGTTGCCTCTAGGAGCCAAGTGTACATCGTCTTTGATTTGGGATCCGGTGGTTGAAAGGCTGGAAAGAAAATTAGCTTCTTGGAAAGCCAAATATTTAACTTTGGGAGGCAGGATCACTCTCCTCAAAAGCTCCCTCTCAAATCTGCCCTCTTATTTTCTCTCTCTCTCTCTTCTCTATTCCAACAAAAGTGGCCCAAAGGGTGGAAAAAATCCAGTGAGATTTCTTATTGGAAAGGTTGGAAAGAGGAAAAAATATACCTGGTCAATTGGGACCAAATTTGTTATCCCAAAGGAAAAGGGGGTCTGGGGATTAGAAAACTGAAAATATTTAGTGAAGCCCTCCTTGGAAAATGGATCTGGAGGTTTGGGACAGAGAGGGATAGCTGGTGGAGGAAACTGGTAGCCAGCTAAAATTGACACTGACAGAGGTGACTGGATAACTAGATCTAGTGTTAATTCCCTAGGGTGCTCCCTTTAGAAGAAGATCACGGATTTGCACCCCTTTCTGAATAAGGGGTCTGGTTCAGAAGCTGGGAAATGGGCAGCCTTTAAATTCTGGAAGGACAAATGGTGTGCAGAAAGGTCTTTGGCACAGTTGTTTCCTCAGTTGTATCTCCTGGCTGATACTCGAGATTCTCTGGTGGCTGAGTGCTATGAAGTCTCAAACAATTCTATCATTTGGAGCCCCTCATTTAGAAGAAACTTCCAGGATTGGGAAATTAATAACGTGAGGGAGTTGTTTGAGCTGATATCCAATCGGACCATAAACATGTTGGAAGAAGATAGCTGGAGATGGATCTGGAGTGCTGACGGATCATTTTCTGTGACGTCCTTTGCCAGATTTTTGGAAGGAGGTGAAGACCTGACTTTCCAGCTGCTACTATTTGGAATGCGACAGCCCATACCAAAGTAAATGCTCGTTTGGGCTGATGCCCTGAATAGGTGCTTCACTAAGAAAAGCCTGTTGAGGACTGAGGAGAGGAGTGCAGATTCAAGACTTGAGCTGTGTGTTATGTGGTCGGCAGATAGAGGATAGTAGGCATTTGTTCCTCCACTGTTCTGTTTCGATGTCTTTATGGAGTCACTATCTTTCCTCTGTGGGTGTACCCTGGGCCATGCCAAATTCTGTGTTGGATCGGATATGGTGCTGGGACTGTTTAAGTCTTTCCAAGTTGACCAAAGTGTTTGGAGATTAATTCCCGCAGCACTGATCAGCACCGTCTGGGCGGAGAGAAATAATAGAGTGTTCCATAACAAGGCCAAAGGAGTAGACAGCCTCATTTCTAATTCCTTTGGAAAAGTGGTTTCTTGGACTGCATCTGTAAAAGGTTTCTAAACCAGGGAGTTTGGAGCCCAGCTGAACTCTAGAAGTCTTCTTGAGTTGTAATGTAATCTGGTTTTTGGTCCTGTCTTTCTTATTCGGGGGCCTATTTGTATCCTAATCTCTTTTCTACCTTTAAAAAAAAAAAAAAAAACATTTACTTTGATTTGATTAGGAGCTTGAGAATGCCAAGTCCTGGGACCAATTTTCTGATTCCATAAATTTATTTGAGTGAATGAAACGAGCAAGATCATCTCCAACTTATCAAAAAAAAAAAAAAAAATATCATCTCTAACTGTTATTTGTTTGTCTACTTGGAAACTTATGGAAAAAGCATAGTTTTTAAGCACCCAGTTTATGTTGTCTCTTGAGGCATGCATTTCATAAGATCTTAACTAATGTTTTTTTTCTTTTTAAGTTCATAATACTTGTAATCTTACTTTAAAGCTGAATGTTGCATCATTGTAGGTTAAGCAGGACGGCTTCTTTCCTGCAGATCTCTTGTTCCTTGCAAGTACAAATCCAGATGGCATCTGCTACACTGAGGTTTTTCTTCCATCTCTTTTACTTGGAAAAGTTATTTACTGTTTTTAGTTGAACATATTTACCTAAGAAAATCCATGAACATTTCTGCTTCTGTATCTCATATCACTTTTCTCTTATACCACAGACTGCAAATCTTGATGGTGAAACAAATTTGAAGATTAGAAAGGCACTTGAAAGGACTTGGGATTACTTGATTCCTGATAAGGCCTCCGAATTTAAAGGTTTAACCGTTTTCTGTTATGTACCCTCTGATTTGAAGTTCTTTTGAATTGGAGATGCAAGGCCTAATTGTTTCTTTCACCTAACTAACATGTATCTTCTTTGTAGAGCAAGTGGTGGGACTACTTTCAATGTCCTAATCTGCTATTAGTTTATATCCATCATTTGGGAGTTTTTCTTCCTAATCTGCTATTAGTTTATATCCATCATTTGGGAGCTTTTCTTCTCTTTATTTAATGTAGGTGGACTCCTCAGGGGATATGGGAAGCTTGTTTAGTACCTGATTCTTTTTTGCACCCAAGAAGAGAAGAAAAGTCATCTGTAGGTGTATGAGGGTAGCATTCTTGTATAGTTCTCAAGACGAGAGGAAATGCTAAAATTTTCTGAGGGAAGTCTTAAAGTAAAGCTATTATAGAAAATGTTGCTATCTAGGTGACACAGTGTGTGAAAGCTATGGAAGTGTTTTTACCGTTTTTTTTGTATAGATGACTATTAGAAACTAGCAGTATGGTATCGAACTATGCCATGGTGTCCCCAGACCCAAATTTTATCAAGCCAAACTTAATGGTTGTAGCCTGAGGAAGTGTTCAGAAAATGGGATACAAAGATATTAACCTTATTATCTTGGCCTATTGGGTGACTTAACTCAAACAGAATTATTTGTAGTGCTACAAGGAGTTAGACTAGCTAAATATCTGAATTACAGATATTTGGTGGTGAAAGGGGATTCATATATAATTTTAGGTTGGTTAAGAAGGAACTATGCTGGCTCTTTGAAATATAAACATGTCATGAGGGAGGTTAAAAAACTGGCTTTGGAACTAAGAACAAATTACAAATTATAGATGGATTCCATGATCACCCAACAATACAGCTAATGGGCTAATAAAACAATAAAACACAACTTAGTTGTATTGGGGGCATAGTTGTCAATAGGGGTGGATTCGAGCTGAGCCGAGCCGAATAGTACGAGGCTCGAGCTCGGCTCGAGACTGTTCTACATGGCTCGAGTAAAAAATTCATAAGCTCGAGCTCGATTTTGAGAAAAAATATTTTATAAAAATAAAAATTATATATAAAAATATTTTTTATTTGATATTTAAAAAAATAAGAAATATAATAATTAATAATTATAATATTTTTATTATATATATATATATATATATTCGAACCAGCTCGCGAGCCTCACGAGCCAAGCTCTAGTAGTCTCGAGCTCGGTTCCGAGCTCGAGCTCGAGCAGCTCATGAAAAGCTCGGCTCGTTGCCCCCCCTAGTTGTCAAGGCGATGCCTAGGCGACAAGGCGCCCTTTGAGGCTCGCCTCGCCTCGCCTAATCGCCAAGTAGTTTTCTACTTCCTACTATAAAATACTTTTTTATTCATTCTTTTTTGAGATTATAATTATAAAATAGACATTATTAAACTAAAATAATCATTTTGTGTGTTTATATACTAATTTCTTTTTATTATTTTCTTATTTATTAGGGTTTAATCAATAACAGAAAGCTTTATTAATGAATAATATTTGTGAAACGTTAATTACAGAAAAGGGGGAGGTAAACTATCTTAACTCCCCAGCAACAAAAGGATAAAGAACAAACTAAAAATTAGCCCAAACAGAGATTCCTTAGCCACCCCTTGCTTAGCTATCAGCCATTGAGTTAGCACTTCTCTTCACCCAACTGTACTTCACCTCTATATACTTACTCAGCTATTTATTTTTTTTCTTTTCATTGCTGTATCACCACAAACCACTGTTGTCTCCTTTCATCCACCTAATCACCACCTCCGAGTCCCCTTCAATAACTAAGCATCTGATGCTTAATTCTCTTGTTCTTTGGATTCCTTCAAGAACTGCTAGAATCTTGGCCCTAAGAGAGTCACCCTCTCCAATTGACCCTGAGAACATGGCAGTAATAATCTCCTCCTCATTCTTGAACACACCCCAATCCCAAATGGCCCTGCATTCCGTAAGCTACTTCCATCAAAATTCAGTTTTATGAATCCAGCAGGAGGGGGGGGGGGTCCAAGAGGGTCTGGTCTATAGGTCCTCTTACAAAGAGCAGAGGTAGCTACCTCTTTCCACTTTCTCAATAAGTCAGCCACAGAAAATTCAGAGAATATCTCCATAGAATTCAGCCAGTGAGCTACCCTTAAGTGTATCAGCTCTATTAAGTTTTCTGTGGTTCTTTCCTTGTCTGAAAATATTCGTGAGTTTCTCTCTTCCCATATTGACCAGCACACTGCAGCCCTAATGCTTCTCCACATAACCTTCTCCCTTTTCTTAAGCCATCTAAAGAACGAGGGAGAGAACAAGCATGGCACACTCATGGGGGGATTCCAAGTACACCCAAAAAGGGAAAACACCCACTCCCAAACAGTTTTAGTAACCGGACAAGTAACCATAATGTGGTAACTCGTTTCCCCATCAGCTCTGCAAAGATCACACCTATTGGGAAGTAAACAACAATTGGGCCTCTTTCTTTGAAGCAAGTCATTTGTGTTAATTCTTTTCGGAAAAATTTCCCAACAAAAACTACCAACCCAAGGAGGAATGGGTTTGCTCCAAATCTCTTTGACAGGGAAGGACAACCCAGGAGGAATAGTAGGCTGAACTAAGGTCTCAAAAAACGAAGCACAAGAAAAGGAGTCGGAGGAGGAAGGGGTCTAGACTCTGGTGTCTTCCTTACTAGGGTTCAAGAAAACATTTTCAAGGATGGCTAGCAAAGATGAAATACAACCCAAATTTGTATCCCTAATTGCCCTTCTCAGGTCTGGATTCCACCCAAACCCAGAAGAAGAATCAGAAGAAACTAAGAAAGAGGTTATGGTTTCATTTTTCAAACCTGACAAAGCAAACAAAGAGGGAAATTGGTCTCTCAGGGGTAAGTCCCCAACCCAAATTTGCTCCCAAAATTTTATTCGATTACCAGAGTTTATATCATACTTGATCCAAGGGGAAAAACTGGAAGCAGATCATGAATGGCTTTCCACGGGGAAGCAGCAGTAGCCCTTGCCAAAATTCCTAGATCCCAGTCATTCTCATCCAGCCCATGTATGCTAGCCACAATCTTCGTCCACAATTTGTCCCTTTCCAATGGAAACCTCCACAACCATTTCCCCAACAATGCCATGTTTCTTTTCCTAATATTCCCAATCCCAAGCCCCCCTAGCTTCTTTCTCCTAGTTACCACTTCCCAACTCACCCTATGGTCTTTCTTCTCCACTCCTAGTTCCCATAAAAAGTCCCTCATTAATTTTTACACCCTGTTAGAGACCTTTGTGGGAATCTTAAACACTGACATGAAGTAAACAGGAAGATTAGTTAGGGTAGACCTAATCTGGGTGATTCTCCCCCCTAAAGAAAGATAATTTTTCCTCCAAGTGGCAAGCCTTTTCTCAAATCTCTCTACTACCGGATTCCAAAAGCTTTCATTCCTGGGGTTATCTCTTAGGGGGAGGCCCAAATAAATGAAGGCCAATCCGAAATTGCACACCCTAACAAACCTGCACATTCACTTACTTCCCTCTCTTCCAAATTCACTCCCACCAAGCAACTCGTATTGAAGTTCACTCTAAGATTAGACATCTGCTCAAAGAGTTGTATTGTTAATTTTAAATTTCTGATCCAATTTAAGTCCCCTCCTTCACAAAACGAGGATTGTGTCATCTGCAAACTGCAAGTGTGTAAGTGGTACTTCCCTCTTCCAACTTTCCATCCTTTTATTAAGTTTCTCGAATCAGCTCTATGGATCAGTCTCCCCAGGACATCTGCAATTAGAGTGAAAAGAAAGGGGGACAGCGGATCACCTTGTCTTATTCCTCTCACGGCCGGAAAGAAATCCACCGTAGTTCCATTCACCAAGATCGAATAATGGCAACTCCTAACACAACCCTAAATCCATCTACACCATCTGTCTCCAAAGCCAAAACTTCTCATCACCTCCATCAAGAAGGACCAATCAACTAGGTCATAAGCCTTCTCTAAGTCTAATTTGCATACCACTCCCTTTTGGAATTCCTAAAACTCTCCAAACTCTCATTCACAATCAAAATTTGATCAGTGGTCTGCCTTCCCTTCACAAAAGCACCTTGGTTGGATGCAATAATGGTAGGAAGAACTTTTTTTATCCTTAGAGACAACACTTTTGCAATTATCTTGTATAGACTATTCACCAAACTAATAGGTCTGAAATCCCTTGGTTGTGATGCCTCTTTCTTCTTTGGGACCAATGCAATGAATGTGGAATTTAAGTCCCGATTAATTATTCCCCTTCTGTGAAACTCCTCAAAAACCGACACTAGATCCTGCTTCACAATATCCCAACAATCCTAATAAAATGCCATTGTGAAGCCATTTGGGCCTGGATCTTTCATCCTATCCATTGAAAACACTACTTCCGTTCTCTCCTCTAGATCAAAATTCTTCTCTAACCCCTCTCTGTTCTCTAAACTAAGAGTTGGCCATTCCAGCCCCTCCACCCAAACCCTCTCATTTAAAGGCCTTCCAAAAATAGATTTTAAGTGCTTTGCAAATGCCTCTGCTATTTCTGTCTTGTGGGAAAGAACAGCTCCTTCAACTTCTAGCTTAGATATGAAATTCTTCATTCTTCTACTATTTTCTATAGAGTGAAAAAATCTAGTGTTTCTATCTCCCTCCTTTAACCATTTACATCTAGACTTCTGTCTCCAACTTATTTCTTCCTGCAATAAGAGATCCTTCAGCTGCTTCCTCACTCTCCATCTTAACTCTCTGTCTTCCTCTCCAAAAGAACCCCTTTCCTCCTTCAAGTCCAATTCCTCAATCTGCTCCATTATAATCTTCTTTCTTTCCTCCGCTCTTCCAAACTCCAGACGGTTCCACTCCTTTATTTGGGATTTAAGGAACTGAATCTTCTTGTGGAATCTCATACCCTCCCATTCTACTGACGGATTGTATCGTTCCCACCATTCTCTGATCTTCTCAATGAATCCTGGATGGATCAACCACATATTCTCGAACCTAAAGGGAGTAGGTCCACCTCCTCTCAAATCCTCCTTACACAACACTATAGGCCAGTGGTATGGAGTCTAGGGAGTGCCCTAGAAGTTAGGTTACCCCAATACTCTTCCCAATTTGTCGAGAACAAGAACCTATCTAACTTAGAGCATATTGGGTTAGATTGAAGGTTGGATCGTGTGTAGATATTGCTTTGAATCGGAAATTTCTTAAGCTCAAAAGTATCCACAATTTGATTGAAATTTCTCATACTGATTGTCACTCTCTGTTTGGGGTTGTTGGTTTCCTTTGTGAATCTCACTACGTTAAAGCCCCCCCTCCCCCCCCACCAAGGCCCTTCCCAAAGGCCCCTAATATCACTCAATTCTTCCCATAATTTCTTCCTCTGCCTATAGTCGTTGGGGCCATATACATTTGTTAAAACCCATTAAAAACCATCTTCCACTTGCCTGAACTTCAAAGAAACTGAATGATCACCTATTAGTTCCTCTAGACCTACCATCACATCTTCTTTCCACAATGTTACGATCCCACCCGAGGCTCCCCATGAAGGAGTAGCCACCCACTTTATCCCCCTAGATCTCCAGACACTCCTTGCCCACTTGCTATCAAAGTCCATTCTTTTAGACTCCTGAATTAACACCACATCCGGATTTCTCTCTTCCTCGTGCTACCCAAACCCCTCACATTCCAGCTTAGGATTCTCATTTCAACTTTAGAAATCAACCCTAAAACCACTAGATATCTATGTAATCCCTTTCCTTCTATCCCCTCTCACCCCAAACTTCTTATCCCCCTCAATATCTCTTTTTAGCCTCTCAACTTCACTCAATTTTCTTTTCTTAATCTTGCTCTCCTCCTTTCTTTTTATTAGAAAAGCTTTTAGATCATTTGGATTCTTTAGTTTACATCCCAACTTTCCCACAAATTCTGCTATCAAATCTTCCTTCCTAGTCTCCTTTCTTCTTAAAATTCTGTTCTCTTCAGTTCTAGTCCTCTCCTCAATTCTAACCTCCTTCTCCCCACTACAACCCATTTCAGTCCCAGTTGTAACTTTCCTTTGTAGTTCACTTTTTCAATTTCACCCATTATACTCTCAATAATTCCCCAGATTCTTTTATCCCTTAATGTTTCCTCCACCATCACCTTTCCCTCCTTCTCTCCCTGAGGTCTCAGTGTGGCCTTCTCCCCATGGGCTTCTGATTCTGGACTGGGAAGGGAATCTGGAACAAGTGACACAACAGCCGCATCAGTAGCAAAAGCTAAATGTACAAAGTTAGCAGAGTTACCTGGGTTCGACTAAGAAAAGATAGTTGGGGTTACAGGAGGACAGTTGGTTGTCAAGCCCTGTAAATCAAGATTGGAGTTCTTTGTCTCCTCATTTTGGAGAGAAATATTCCCCGTCATTCGGGTTCTCACAAGGACTGCTTCCCTTACCCGATTGTCTACCTCTCTATGATGTGTCCTTGTTCAATTCGGGGTTAACGTGAGCTAACACCTCGGTTTCTTGTAAAGCACTAACACTTGGCAGAGTCTTGTCCACTTTTGGGCATTGGATTTGCCACCCCCCCCCCCCCCCCACCTATTTGGATATGAGTTGCTCTGTTGTTAGCTTCTGTTTTGCTCATCCATACCTCCACGTTCTCTTCTTGTTCTCCCATCAAATCTCCATGGAATAGGCAATCCAAATTTAGGGACTCCTTATTATGATCTTCTTGGAAACCTTCATCTTCCAGACTTTCGAAGCTTGAAATCTCGTTTGAACTCTCCTCAAAATCACTCTCTAAGCTACAACTTATCCACCCTTGGTCTTCCTCATCCCTTTCTTCTTTTCTGTCCCTCAAGTAGCGTGGATTAGGGCGATCTGCTGCACAACGGTCCTGTTCCTCAACACCCTGACGAGGGACCCAACATAGAGATTGAGTTTCTCTCTCTGCGCAGCGTTTCTATACCTGTTTCAGTTCAGCCAGGACGTTTTCGGAAGATGATAGATGGGAGTTTTCATCTACCATCTCCCTTCCCCTTTCCCGACCCACGTGACAATTTAAAGTGTCACGTGGCCCTCTAAAGTTGCCATATGGTCTATTATTTTGTCCACCCACTCTTTCAACCGGCTTAGAAAGTGCACCACAGTTAAGACCAACCGAACCCAATCCCCTTCTTGCCACGTCAGCATAGGACTGGCGACCAGAGCAAATTGTTTTTAATTCAAAAAATTTTGAATTAATTGCCTTAAATGGGATGCTTTGGAACTGGTTAACCTCCTGCGACTGTTCCCCTTCTTTTACTCTAGCATGCTTCTCCTTCAACCCCTGAGAGACACGTGTACTCCAACCTACCACCTCACCATTTCCCCTTACCTATGTTCGCCTTCCCCATAGCGACGCCTCAACTTCTGAGGCAATCCAAACTTTGTACCAAGCATCTTCCGAGCAAATTTCAATCGAACGAGGCAAGTTTTCTGGTTTAATTCCTGCAACTCTGAGTTCCACTACACACAAGCTCCTCTGGTTTATCTCCAGCACGACTCCACCCAAGGTTTTTGTTATTTTTTCCAATGTCGGTTCGTTCCAGAGGTTAAATGGAAGTCCAAGCAATTTAATCCGGTAACTGCCTTCTTCTGGTTCAACTTCATTGTAGATCGGGACCCATTTTTTAATCTGTATCAGTCCGCCTTCAACCTGTACCGTGTTGAAGCTCCACTTCTCAACGCCAACATCAAGAATAGCTTTCTTCTCAGTGAATGGTAATAAAACAGCATCACCTTCTAAACCCAATCTTTGCGCAACTGCATCTAGGACTTTTATCCAGTCCTTAACTTCCCTATCAGCCGTTAAAACCATTCTGTGCTCCCAGCTGTTTCTCCCTTCTCCGATTGTTGTTCTCCAACGTTCAGTTGAACTTGCTACCGTAACTTCTTGAAAGACAAGGATCTGGTCCAAGTTAGACTTTGGTAACCCAGGGTGGTGGGGTTACTTTTCATCGGACTTCTTATTGGTTCTTCTGCTACCTTACTCTCAACCTTCAAGAGGAACGATTGAAGATTTCCAGCAGAGGCCCATCCTTGCTCCCTCAGTCCTTCTGGCACGCAAATCATCTGCTTTTTGTTAGGGCCAAAGTGCTCTGTTACTGTGAAAAACCAACCTTTCTCATTTCCTCAATACCACTTCAAATCTTTTTCCGGAGCATCCGATTGAATTTTTCCAACCTTCTTCCTTGATAGAGTTAATTGTTCCATCTACGAAGCCTTTCAACCAGAAACAGGCTTCCTCTGGTAAAAAGATCGTAGCCCTACTACCTTCCCTGATTTTCAGATAAGCCTTACCCCTTGTTCATTCCTGCTCGAAAATGAATCTCTTTGTTTCAATGATCAGCTCCACTCTCTTTGCTTTCCGATAAGCGTTACCCCTTGTTTGTATTCCATATCCATTATTAATAAAAATAATATTATTTATCATATTTATTTTTAACATGGCAAATCTATAATGTTAGAGATGTGTACAAAATTTTCTATAAAATTTCTATATTTTTATAATTTTTTATATTTTTATCTACTTTTAATTTTTTGTTATTTAATTATGACATCATGCATTGACCCATTTGACCTAGAAGGTTGAATCAGTGACCTGCCACATAAACAGGTTATGATTTTCATATTGGTTCAAATTTTGTATTTCATGTACATCATTAATAAAAATAATTCTTGTTTACCACACTTATTTTTGCTTAGTATGATTAATATATTAGAGATGTGTCCAAACTTTTTTTTTACTTATTTTATATTTTCCATCATTCTTTGTATTTTTTTTTTCTATTTGTAAAAGTTTTATTATTTAACTATGACATCATGGATTGAACCATTTGGCCTGAATGGTTGAACCACTGACCCGCTACCTAGACAGGAAAATGGTTTCATTTCTGGATCTATTTCAAATTTCGAATTCCCTTTCCTTCATTAACAAAAATACTTCTTATTTATCATACTTAGTTTTGTATAATATGACAAATATATAATAATAGAGATTTGCCCAAATTTTCTTTATTATTTGTAATGTTTTGTAATTTTATCTTCTTTTGTTTTTTATTATTTAATTATAGCATCATTAATTGACTCATTTGACATAAATTGTTGAATTGCTTACCTGCCACTTAGATGGAAAAAAACAATATCATTTCCATGTCAGTTTTAAAAACATAATTTTTTATACTCTTAAAATTACCGCATATGCATTTCTATCATGCCTATCCACTTCCATTCCTTGAATAGCAAGGAGTTTTTTTTTTTAATTCCTGCAATAAAATTATAATATTCTGTTGATTATTAGAACAGAACATCCATAAAAATTGTATAGTTACATTTGGCTAAAATTTGTAATTTTATTACAATTATGATTCATTTGTACCCAGAAGTTGAGAGTTCAAGTTTGTTGAGTGGGTACTCTTCTATCACTTTCAAGTTCATTTACTTGCTTGTTGTATTTGCTATTTCTCTTATAAAGTTTCTTTTTGCTTGCAGGTGAAATACAATGTGAACAACCAAATAATTCACTGTACACTTTCACTGGCAACCTTATAGTAAAAAAGCAAACGTTGCCTCTTTCTCCAAATCAAATATTATTGCGAGTATGATCTGTTTCCTGTTTGTTCCTCATTAGTAGTATTTTTTATAAAGAATTAAATTTCTTAAATTTTCAAGCTAATGCATGTATAGCTGTCATAAGTTAGATGCCCTTAAGACATAACTATACCTTTTACTTAATTTATCTATTTCATTGCCAATATATGGAAACATTTTGTATATTTACATAGATCATAGATGTACTAACTTTCAATCTGGAAAAGAGTTTCATGTGTTTATTTCTGATTTTTTTGGCAACTATACCATTGAAGTTTTCCTTAAAAGGCTTTAACTAGTTCAATGGCATGTGCAAATGCACGTGTAAGAAGTCACTAAGAAGGGGGGAGTGGAGATAATGGACAATGATAGAATTGGGATTGTGGGCATGTAAATGTTTGAACATAGACTAAGTTGGGATATGAAGCTCTCTTTTTATATAGGCTATAGACAAGGTTTAGTATATTGGTATGTATCGGTCAATATGGCCTCATATGTATCAAATTTCAGCCTTATTGGCACATGGCATGGGTGGAATAGCATGGCTTTGCTGCCATTCCACCCGTATCCATTAGTATGGGTTGTTATGCTCACACATTGGTTATCTATTGGTGCATATTGGTCAATAAGGATAATACAAACTGATACAGATCTGTGATACCAACCTGTTTTTTAGCTTATTTAATCTAAGTAACTCTTTAACTCACTCCACCTACTCCCATTAAATGACTCTAACCCCCCCCCCCTCCCCAAATCCACCCCCAAAAGGATTTAATTACAATTCAGCCCAAAACAAATCACCCTTATTTGTCCCTTGTTTGGGTAGTGTACCATCCAAGTCATTTACTGATCTTCTAACCCATGTAACAGTTGCACCTAGCTCCCTTAAGCTTCTACTCTACCTCAAGGCCTCCCTGTGGACCCAAATTCCCATGCTGCCTGTTTGTAACCACCCTATCACCAGATTTGAGACCCTCTCCACTTCAATTTGTTGGAGGCCCAGTTGTTTTGCCAATCTCAGCCCTTGGAGGAGAGCTGAAACGTCAGCCCTGAGAGAGTCACTTCTCCTATTGGCCCTGAAAATAACACCGCCACTCTCCCTTCTCCATCTCTTATTACTCCACCAATACCAGACAGACCCAGGTTACCAAATGAGCTCCAATCAAAGTTTAGCTTCAGTCTGAGTAGTTGATGGAGCCCAAATGTCCTGTAAAACAGCCCTTGCCCTTGAGGTTGAAGAATTCACCGCTGCAATCCAGTTTCTAATGATATCATCAACAGGAACATCCTTGAACATTTCCAAAGTTTCTACCCAGTGTGCACCCCTAAAAGAAATGCTATCAATTAATTCCCTCCTATGTCTTCACCTTGTCTTGAAAAATATGGTTATTTTTTTCTTCCCATATTGCCCAAGCTATTGCTGCCCTTATAGCTCTCCAGATAGATTTGGGATTTATCCAACTTCCCCTAGTGTATCCATACATATCTTAATTTTTCCACCGTATCCATGTATTTCCAAAGTGTATCTTGATATGTCTCTTAAATATAAAATATAATAAGTATTGGTTAAGTAAGAAATAAGGATAGAATGGAAAGTTGTACAAATAAAAAGGGTATTCCAGGTATGTAAAAGTTTGAACAGAAAGTTGGGATGTGAAACTGTCTCTTTTTATAGAGGTTATAGGTTATATAGATACTTTACAACCTATGTTCAGAAATTAGATATTTATGTCTGAGAATTTAGGAATTGGTTTCTGAATGATATTGATTTTGCACTCACCTTAGGGTTCCTTCAATCTTAATACCAGAAGTTGTGTATGTGTTTGTTTGGTTTTTTTTTTTTTGCTCATATTATCAGTCTGAGCTACTGTTAATTTGTCACTAGTCATTATTTTTATCTATTATTGTTTGGGTATAACTATGCACTTTTATATACCATTTGGATTTTATTGTCATCTGGAGATGCTAGTGAAGCTCAAGCAATGGTCACAAGGACATTTGCGATAATTTTTGTTGACCAAAATGCCCCGTGTATATTGCCCTTTTCCCAGATCTTTTGACTTAAAGGCCCTTTAGTGGGACCCTTGGTTGCTGCTTGATTTTTTAGCTTTCACATATGTATTGCTTGGGTTTTAATGATTTTAGCAATCGATCTTTTTGCACCCTCAAGGTCATGCCAATAAGATACCTCTGTTGGTATCTAATCTTACACTAGATTTTCTTGGTCTCACTTCCCAGTGGGAAATTGCTGGCCTAACTTATTCTACCTCCTCCTAATAATTAATTCTCACTCATTGTTTACTGTTCATAACTATTATACAATGGATGCTGATTTGGTCAAAGCCCAGTTATGATAAAAGGGGATTGCCAAAACCTTCACCAACTGACATTTTACAGAATATCCCACTGATGATTTGACAAAGCAGTTTACAAGGTCTCATCATTTCGGTAACTTGAGCCCTGATATGTTTTCATTCTTTGTGAAATGACAAAAAATAATGATGGGAGTAAATACATGAGGATATTTTTGTCTTGTTAGAGTAGTTTCCTTCAGCTATTAATTAGATCCTTTTTCACCGTTCATAAAAAATGTTATGTGCTCAAATCACCATCCTCATAAATTAACTCTTTCACTTTCTCTAGCAGAATATGTAGTTATACTTTCTTTGTGATTCATAGTAAAATATACCTTTTTTCACTATTAATGTAATAAGCGTCCATTTTAGAACTTCATATTTATTATTTCTCATTAATGTCTGTTCTTTTACTTTTCAGGGTTGCAGTCTTCGAAATACAGAATATATAGTTGGAGCTGTAATATTTACTGGCCATGAAACAAAGGTTTGGGCTATTTCCTCTGTTGTTTGGCTTGCTAGATCCTTTCCCCCATTCCATGTTAAGTTATGTAACACAACATGAAGTGATTAATGTCCTTATGACTGGCAAGGAATGGATAATAAACATTACATAGGTGAATCTGATGTATGGATCCTTAGATTCCATTGATATCTATCCTTGTATATCAGTGGATGGTATCAGATGCGCAAAAAGATGTGCATTGTTAATGATTGTAAGATGGTTGAGAAGGAACTATGCTGGATCATGGAAATACAGATACATCTTGAGGGAATAGTACAATCTGTAATGTGGGGTGTATGGGAAGAAATAAATAACTCTATTTTTTAAAATAAGTCTGGATCATTTGAAAATCTCATCTCCCACATTGCTCACTCATGTAACATGTGGGCTGTAAATTCTGAGGCTTTCAGAGGGATCTCTGTAAGTGACCTGTACAGAAATGTGGTAGAGATTTTACACTTTCTCCAAAGACTTTATCTCCATTTAGGGGTCCTATCACTGGAGAGGAAGGGGTGGTGAGACAACTTTGATGGGAGCGCATTAGGAAAACCAGGGTGCAGCTGAAATTGGAGGTGTACAGTCTACTAAGGGAGAGGAATGGTAGCATTGGTTGGGATTCAAGTGGACCAATTGGGATTGCTGATTCTTATAAGGCCTATGTTCTGCTTCTCTTACTGGGCTCCAGATTGCTAGAGATTTGGGCATCTCAACTTTGGCCATTGAAGTGGACTTAGCAAACACTATCAATCGATTAGGAGAGGTTGAGGGTGGCCCTTGGAGGCTGGCATACTATTTGGCCGAAACAAGAGATATTTTGGCTGCAATAAATGCAAATCTTACTTGAATCCCTATGGTATTAAATACTTTGGCAGATGAGTGAGCTAAGGCTGGTGTTCATTGGGAGGTCTCTGTATAGTAATAGATCTTTGCTTGTGTAATGCTTGAGTTCTCCTTTTGTCTTTTTTGATAATGATGTACATCAACTCCTGCACTTGTTCATCTATTAATGAAATTCTATTACCTTCTCTCCAAAATAAGAAGGATAAAAGGATACATCTTGAGGGAGATTAACAAGTTGGTTTTGAAACTGAGAACAAATTACAGGTGGGTAGTTGGGTACTGAGATTAGCCAAAAGTTTCGCTATGCCCAGCTGATTTAAAATGTATGGATAAAGGGTGTACTTTGGCTTGTAGCAGGGCTTACAAGGGGTTGCGATGTGCTTTGGCATCTCTTGTACAATTATATTCATTATTTTATATCATCAATAAAATTTACAGTAACCAATCTAGAAAAAGGGGTGAACAGGACTTATATTGGAGTATGATCACCTAAGGAGGGATCTTGTAAAAGAAAGTGGAAGGGAGGCTATCCACCACTCATAAAGGGTGCTTAGCACAATGGTACTGTATAACATTTTTTATGTTTATCTCAGTAAAAGGCTTTTAGTGTTACTGATTAAAATGGATTACTAAAGATTTTATATAAGACAAGGAGAAAAGAAACAAACTGCTCTAGTGCAAAGAAAGATGAAAGAACAAAAGAGGGAAAAGGAGACAAGAAAAAGAAGGAAGCCTTTTCCAACTACAACCTAGCTACCCACCCTAACCAAATGCAGCCTCCATAACCAACCACTGCAGCAACTCAGGAACTCCTTAGAAGACAAAAAATATAGCCCTAGTAACAACCATGTAAAACTAGCTCCTTATCATAATGAGGGAAACATTTTAAGCATGGTTATGAAATGTTTGGTTTGATGCATTACAAACTGTTTCTTCCCATTTCATTTATTTTTGTATATCCTTTATTTTACTTTAGCTTGTTCCGTTGTAATTTCATGCAGTTTTTCTGGCTACGCGGAATAAATTGCAGGTTATGATGAATGCTATGAATGTTCCTTCCAAAAGGAGTACTTTGGAGAGGAAACTTGACAAGCTTATACTTGCTCTTTTCGGTGGTCTTTTCTTTATGTGTCTCATTGGAGCCATTGGCAGGTTTGAATGCAACCATTTTTTCCTCTCCATTACTTCAACAAGATTTATTTTTTGTGAATATTACAATTACTATGTCTATTTTGGAACATGTCTGAACCCTTTTCTCTATGGAGTAGATGACTTTTTTACTTGGTTCAAATCCCACAGCGGTGTGTTCATAAATCGCAAGTACTACTACTTAGGCCTCAGTGAGAGTGTGGAAGATCAGTTCAACCCTAGCAACAGATTTGTGGTACATATTGCTCCTACTATAACTTTATTCTCTAAAAGTATGATTTTTTTTTTGTTTAATTTCATTATTTCCTTAGCAAGATCTTTAGTAACTCGTTCTCTAAACAGGTTGCTATCCTGACTATGTTTACCCTAATTACGTTGTACTCAACAATCATCCCCATTTCTCTTTATGTTTCTATTGAGGTGGGTAATATTTCTTATTGAGTTGAAGGTTTAGCATGGTTTCATACAATAAAGGACATCTTTCCTTAACATTTGCTTGTATTTCTTGTTGCATGGTGTTTATTTGTTTGTGAACTTTCAGATGATCAAATTTATTCAGTCGACTCAGTTCATCAACAAGGACTTGCATATGTATCATACTGAAACCAACACTCCTGCATTGGCACGGACATCTAATTTGAATGAGGAGCTTGGTCAGGTTAGTTACTATGTTATTTGTAACTGGTTAAAGTATTCTAGATTGCGAATAAACTATGGGTCGTTTTTGAACTCATTGATAGCCTCCTACCTAGTGTATTTGATCTTACATCACTCAGAATCCAAGTTTTTGAGTCATTTTATTTTGAGTTCACTTCTTTGGACAGGTTGAGTACATATTTTCTGACAAAACGGGAACTTTAACAAGAAACTTGATGGAATTCTTTAAGTGCTCAATTGGAGGAGAGGTGTATGGAACTGGTATCACTGAAATAGAAAGAGGAGCAGCTCAGCGAAGTGGCAGAAAATTTGAGGAGGTGTGAATTTGCAGATTATATGAAAATGGTGAAAAGATAGTATCATTCTTTTCTTGTTCAATGATTTATTTTCATCTTTATTTTTTGTTGTATAGGTACAAAAATCAGCTAATGCAGTGCATGAAAAGGGTTTCAATTTTGATGATGCTAGGCTTATGCGAGGTGCTTGGCGGAATGAATGTAATCCCGATACTTGCAAGGTAGATTATTTATGCCTGGGCCAGCGTCATTCTTAAATTGTTGTGTTGTGTGATGAAAGTTGTAGTTTCATAAAATTCTGATGAAAAAGCAAACCCTAGCATATAATGATTTTTGTATCAGCAAGGAAGTCTTAACAATTGTATTAAAATATGAAAACAGAGTGAATATCCAGCCACCCATAAAACAATAGAACAAAGATAGAAAGCCCCAGGATCAAAAGTGTTACAGTAATGCCCAAAACAGCTGCTGCCTATGGACCCCCTACTTTGCTAATATGTTGGCAAGCCCATTTGCAGTCCTTACCCAAACAAAGGTAGTATTCAGAGTATTCAGACTATTCAGATCCTTTGACAGGATTTCTATTTCCCCAAGGGCATGCCTGCCTATAAATCCACTTGGTGCCTAGTAATGGTCCAGGAAACAACCAGTTTTAAGTCCCTTTCAACTTCCAAGTTCTTGAAGATAGACTGCTTAGTAAATTTTAAGCCTTGCAGTAAAGCCATCAGTTCAGCCTTTAGAGAATCCCCAACCCCTACAGGTCCTGAATACATACCACCACCTTACCTTAATAGTCTTTAAAGACACCTCCAATAGTTGCCATTCCCTGGTTTCCCATGGAACTCCCATCAAAATTCAGTTTTATTTTGTTGCTTTCTGGGGGTTTCCATTCCATTACCACCTTTTCCTTTTCCTTTGGAAGACTGTGCACTTCATTCCACACCCTTTTTTTTGAGAAATATTGAATTTCATTAAAAGTAAATAAGATAAAATAAGGTTGCTGAATGAGAGATTTCTTCAATAGCCGACTACATGGGGAGTAGATCCAACAAGCTAAACATTATAGAGCATAGTGATGTGATAAGGTCCCCAAACATCGGTATGCACAATGTCAAAAGGAATACTACTTCTTTTATTACTCAATGAATAGGTTGTTCTACAATGCTTTGCAACCTCACAACTCTCACATTTCAAATTGGACATCTGGACAAACTGAAACAAACTAGGAAACAAGCTTTTCAAAGACTTAAAAGATAAATAACCCAACCAGTTATGCCAAAGCATAACTTGACTAACAGACTGAGAAACAAAAGACCTTCTGACTTCACTATCTTTCCAATGTGAGCTCCCTCCAAGTAGATAGATTCCATTCGTCTCACGGCCAATCCCAATCACCTTCTTTGTCTCCAAGTCCTAAAAAACACATCAATCAGGGAAAAAGGTTACTGAACAATTCTGGGTTTTAGTAATGCTACTAACTGAAAGCAAATTTGTACTAAGTTTAGGAACATGCAAAACTGAAGACAAAAAAATGGCATTAGACAACTTTATGTCTCCCTTGCCAGAAATGGGAACAAGAGAGCCATCAGTAAGACACTTTGTCTTTGTCAGAGGATAAGTGATATGTAGTAAACAGCAAGGACAAGTGAGTCATATGATCAGATGCACCTGAGTCTATCACCCAACAGTGTTCAGTGTTACCTGGGGCTGAAGCATGATAAGCTAAAGCCCGTGTACCTGAATGAGCAAAAGCTGAAGTGGGAGGAGCTGATGTTGTGACTAATGGCTGAGATGATGGTGCTGAATTACCAACTTCACTCTCCAACTGAGTCAGAGCAGCCCGAACAGCAGCTAAGGTGTCTAGGGATGTGGCTCTTGTGCCCGATGAGGTTGCATAATCAGTAGTAACAACCACATTGGCATTTCCCCTTTTGTTTATGAGTTTTGTTGGAACTAGATGGGGATGTAACTTCCAACAGGTGTCTTTAATATGCTTAGGTTTCTTGCAGTGTTCACATACTAGGTCCCTCTTGTCTTCCTTCTTCATATCCCTCTCCTTATCACCCCCAAACTTAGGTTTAACTGTTACCAAGGCTGATGCTGCAAAATAACCTTTCTCCTACTCTCTTCATTGTGCACTATTAGTTTCAACCTGCTTTCTGTAAGTTTGTGCATCCTTCTAACTTTCCCACTCAATTGTTTCTAGGTGGTTAATTTCATGCCCTAAGGATTTCAAGGTGGAGAAGTAAACCAAGACTATTTCTCTCCTTGCTTAAGATTATTAACCTCACATTTCAGTTCATAAGCCCTAACAACATTAAGGGGTTGGGAGTAGGTCTCTTTCATGATGTCCCAAATTTCCTTAGTTGTTTTTGCCCATGAGTAGTTCCGGCTGATATGTGGCTGCATGGAGTTGCACAGCCATGTCATAACCAAATAGTTCTCTTGAACCCATTTGGCATAAGTTTGGTCCTCCTTAGTTGGTTCCGTTACATCCCCTAACAAATAATTCAGTTTTCCTCTACCCCCAATGGCCATCATGGCTGATTGGGCCCATTCTAGGTAATTTGGTTCCTCAAACTTGATAGTTGTAATCTGAAAGGTGTTCTCAGACATGTTACCAGAACCACTAGCCCCCAAAACACCTTCCCCTTGGTTCTTAAACTCCATTCCTGTTAAGATGTTAATAAAAAAACACCCTTTTTAGCACTAAGATAAGGAAGCTGCACCCAGAAATTGATAACAGCCGACCTAGGAGCATAGTTTTCAAGGCGCCAAAGCGAGGCTAGGCACCAAGGGGGCGTCTTGTTGCCTAGTCGCCTAGGAGGGTGCCTAGGCATCACCTAGGTGATGGATTTTTTCAAGTAAAAATATGTATCCTAGGGTAGTTCCCTAGGTTCCATAATCATATTTCCTTAATAATTATGCATAATTTTTATGAGAAAAGTATAAACTTCATGTTAAAGTATAGAAAATCAACATATTCCAACATATTCATGAGAAAAAAAGAAAGAAAAAGAAATTTCAAAAAAATATAAGGGCTGAACCCCTATTTCTGTTATAGGAAAAGAAGAAAAGAGAAGGTGGAAGAAGAAAATTGGTATATAGGATAGACACACAAAATTAGTAAAGAAAAAGAAGTAAATGTGTTGGTTAGRCAACATTTWAARTTYTTCCTTACTTATTGGTTCAGGTTTTGAAGTCTTTCAGGGTTCAATACAGCATTTAGCAATGTTTGTGTTGATTAAACCCTAACAAATAAGAAAATAATAAAAAGAAATTAGTGTATAAACACACAAAATAAATATTTTAGTTTAAAAATGTCTATTTTAAAATCATAACCCCAAAAAACCAAGAATATAAAAGTTTTGTCTAACACACTATAGAAAACTACTTGGCGATTAGGCGAGGTGAGCCTCCAATGGCGTCTTGTCGCCTTGACAACTATGCCTAAGAGGGTGAATTAGGTTCGGCAACTACCCAGAAATAATAAACAGCTCTACTAGATCTCCAAAGAACTAAAAAACACTCAGTCTGGAATGAAACAGGTTCAACTACTGCCCCAGAAGTAACAACAGTCTTGAATTTTAGGTTTTCTCTTAAAACCCTAAAAAACTCAGGAGAAGATAGGAGATTTCCCAACTGCACCTCTCAGAATAAACAAAAATAATCTTTTTTTTTAGATCGATCTCAAGGAAAACAACTTACTTCATGAAAGAACTCTGGCCACCACCTTCTAACTGATGTCTGAACCCTAATCTTGAGGATTTGAACCTTCTTCTGATTCTTCCTGATCGCTGGATCTCTCCAAGGCTCTACAATCTCTTTAGTAGCAGCCGCACACTGCCAGCAACCTCCAAGAATAAGCCAATGACCTTCTTTCTGCTGAAACTTCCAAACCTAGGAAGTTCTTATGTAGTCGGCCTGATTAGACTACTAGCATAAGAACTCCTAGGTTGGCTCTGATACCAAGTAGTCGAATAGGACTACAGTCAGTCCTAGGTTCAGTTGCAATAAATAAAGAAAGATTGAGAAGAGGAGAAGAAGAACTCGAAGAAGAGAATTCAGAAAAGAGAGAGGATTGACTAACTGTCGCCCCACTCTTACAATTTATATTAATACTGAAATAAAAGTAAAGGGCTGAATTACCCTTACTGCTTACATGGCAAAATAAAAAAAGAACTAATAACTATAAACTGAAATAAACTACCAACTGAAAATAACTAACTGCTAACTACAATCATACGAACACAGTAGGGACCACATCACTGTGCTCTACACCAGTGATTTAAAAGACATGTCTCAGGCGCACCTAGGTGCACAAGCCAGGTGCATTTTAAGGTATGTGCCTCGCCTAGGTCCTAGGTGTAGCACTTTGAAATGACGTTTGTCTGGTGCACCTTACGCTTCAGCCCAAGTGTGTGACTTTTCAAAATTTGTGCATTTTTTCTCTAAGAACCCCCAATTTGCTAATGTTGTTTATTCATTCGTCCTAATAAAAGACATTTTTAGAAGACAATTAAAATTATAAAATCTTTTTTTTATTGGAAATCTTAAGAATTTAAGACCCTAACATGGACTTGTTTGGGCTTGCCTCAAGAGGCTTGGTACAAAGGTGGCTTGTAGAATCAAGAATGCAAAGTTTTTAAAATCACATTAACCATTTGAAGTAATTGGGAAAAAAAATAAAAAGATTGCAAGGTGCCAACCATCTTGTTGGTAAGGTCTCCTGCTGGTCATAACAGAGACTTGGGATTGAATCCTGCCTGCACCTGGGTTTGGGGGGGTTATGGGTTGGGGGATGGGCTACCCCCCATTGTGTAGCCCTTCAAAAGATATCAAAAGAACATAAAGAGATCGAGAGTTTTACATGCTTGAAAATGTTCTATATGTTATGTTTGGTTTTATTTTTAATATGTTATACATGTCATGTTTATGTATTTTGATTTAAGATCATTAGTTTTCTTAACATTTATTTTAAATTTTGTTTATATTTTTAATTGTTTTTGCATTTTTTTATTTTTTGGGATTTGTTTTGCATTTTTGCACCTTGCTTCAGAAAGGCACATGCCTAGCCTTGCACCTTGTGCCTCTAGCACAAAATGACCCTTGCACTTTTAAAACATTGCATTACACAGTGAATTCGTTTTCACACAAAATAGCACCCTAATGATCCACATAGTGCTTAAGTGGAAATCCCAAAGAGATCATCAATGGAAGT